ATGGAGTCTTACTCATTCATTTTTCTGGCTCTGGAAACGGAGGCCCGGAGACAGAGAAAGCACCAGTGGGATCAGCCAGCAAGTGAGTAAGCACTAGCTCCCAGGACCCAGCCTCCTGCTCAGCCCTGCCCTGGATATGTGGGAGGTACGAGACAGTGAGGGCCCCGCCTGGCTGGGAGAGGGCCTGGGCCTGGGGGGTCAGGCCAGCATTTTCCAGTCTTAAGGGGAGGGTGTCACTACTTTGAAGGAAGAAGAAGATACAAACGGCTTGGGTTATTGACACCCCTGCCCCCTCCACTTGCCTTCCCAGATGCCTGAGCCACACATGTGGGCCATGTCGCAGCCACAGGCACCCAGACCCAGTCTGTTAACACAGTCTGAGGCAGACCAAAGCCGGAGTGACCCCTGTCTTCCAGCCATGGCCGCTGAGCTGTGCCAGGGGCACCGATGGCACATACTCTTCACCCCAGCCCCGGCCCAGGAAAGGGATGGAGGGGGAGAGTCATCTCCCCTGCCCCCGAGCTGAGTGTCTGGGCCTGTGGGCCGGGGGGAGGGGGAGGGGACCTCACTGTGGAAAATTGGCAGAGACAGCCAGCAGCAGCCGGGAGAGTGGAAAAAATGATATCAAATCCGGAAAATGCAGGCCGGGTGGAGGGCCAGAGCCTGCCCTGGGAGGTGAGAGGGAAAGACAGAGGGGTGGGAAGAAGGAGGAGGGGTGGGAGGAGGCCCAGGGGCTGAGACAGAGGAGGTGGCTTTGAGAAAACTCAGGACAATCACTGCCATTCCCTCCTTCCTTCTTCCACAAACATGTCTTGAGGGCCTGCTAAGGGCAGGAGCAGCCCTGGGGTGCAGTGGATAGGCCCCCCGGCAGCAGCTGAAAGGTGGGCAATTCAAACCCACCAACTGTTCCTCAGGGGTGCAGTGGGGCCGTCAGCTTCCGTAAAGATGGGGGGCTTTGGAAATCCTCTGGGCTGTCTTACTCTGTTGAGTCCCTATCAACTTAACAGCAGTGAGTTTTGGCAGTGGGTGCTTGCTGAGGAGCCTGGTGGCATCGTGGGGTAAACACTGGGTTGCTTACCATAAGGTTGGCAGTTTAAACCCACCAGCTGCTCCGTGGGGAGAAAAATGAGGCTGTCTGCTCCCCTAAAGAGGTACAGCCTCAGCAGCCTCCTCTAGCCAATCGGGGCCCCGGGCCTCGGAATCGAGGGCAAGCCGGTATTAAGAGCAGGGTGCGTGAAGCACTAAGCTTTGGAGAGAAGCCAGAGGGAGGATGCTGGTCACCAACCTGGTTAGAGCAGCTGGGTAGGCCCTGAAGGCAATGCAGTCCAATGCCCCTGGATTTTCAGACAGGAGTGGGAGGGGAGGAAGAGGGCTTGTCCCTGGCCGCACAGAGCAAGAGGGAGGGGAGGAGGCAGCTACAGAGCAGACTGGGCTGGGGTAAGGGTATCCAGCTAAAACCCGAACCAAACGCACCGCCGTGGAGTCGAGGCTGACTCCTAGCGACAGAGTACAACTGCCACTTGGGTTTCCCAGACTGTAACTCTTTACGGGAGTAGAACGCCTCCTCTCTCTCCCCAAAAGTAGCTAGTGGTTTTGAACTGTTGACCATGGCGTCAGCAGCCCTATTCATAACCACTATGCCACCAGGGTTCCTGGTGTATAGCTGAGGAGGCAGAAAAGAAGAGAAGTCGTTTGGGCCCTTGACCCCAAGCCAGCGGAGCATCTTTTGCAAACCCCACTCCCCTCCATCTCTCATGCTTTTAGTTTCCTTGTTTGCCCCAATGGGTTCATGAAAAGGCTGGTGTGCAGATGAAATGAGTGAAGATGTGTTAAGTGCTTCAAACAGCCCTTTTGTCCGGGAAGAGTCAGTCCACGCCGGCTCCCGGACCGGACCGTGTCTCAAAGCATGGATTAGAGAGGGCTTGTGCAGGGTAAGAGGTTCTGAGACAGTGAGATGCGTGGAGCGTATGTCAATTAGACACTCCTGCATGAAGGTAGGGGTGGAGCCCAACTGGTCAATCAGGTCACACAGCCTCATGTCATCTCCTTGGGGGTGGGGGGCTTTTGTATAAAAGAGAGGCCCCAATAAGCAAATGTGGCGAAGAAAGCTGATGGTGCCTGGCTATCAAAAAGCATAGCGTCTGGGGTCTTAAAGGCTTGAAGGTAATCAAGCGGCCATCTAGCTCAGAAGCAACAAAGCCCACATGGAACAAGCACACCAGCCTATGCAACCACGAGGTGTCGAAGGGATCAGGTATAAGGCATCATCAGAACAAAAAAATCTTATCATAGTGAATGATGGGGGGAGTGCGGAGTGGAGATCCAAAGCCCATTAGTAGGACACTGGAGATCCCCTTGCAGAGGGGTCTCGGGGAGGAGATGAGCCAGTCAGGGTGCGATGTAACAACGATGAGAAATACAACCTTCCTCTAGTTCCTAAATGTTTCCTCCCCGCTCCCACTACCATGACTCAAATTCGACCTTGCAAGTCTGGCTAGACCAGAGGATGTAGACTGGTACAGATAGGAACTGAAAATCCAGGGAATCCAGGGCAGATGAGCCCTACAGGACCAGTGGTGTGAGTGGCGAAACAGGGAGGGTAAAGGGAGAATGGGTAGGAAAGAGGGAGCCGATTACAAGGAACTGCATGTGACCTCCTCCCTGGGGGACAGACAACCGAAAAGTGGGTGAAGGGAGATGTCGGACAGGGCAAGATATGACAAAATAACAATTTATAAACTATCAAGGGCTCATGAGGGAGGGGGGAGCAGGGAGGGAGGGGAAAAATGAGGACCTAATGTCGGGGGTTTAAGTGGAGAGAAAATGTTTTGAGAATGATGTACAGATGCGCTTTACACAATTGATGTGTGTATGGATTGCGATAACAGTTGTATGAGCCCCTAATAAAATGTTTTTTTTTAAAAAAGAGAGGCCCTGACCACAGCCCATCTCTCCTTTGCCCCTTCGCCTTCTGCTGGAGCTGAAGTCTGTGTCTGGTCCGTTGGTCTTCTTTTGTGTCCCCTGCCGTGGGCTGCCGACCTGGGAGTCCTTTAGCTCTGCCTCTGCCAGCCTGTGGCCCTCCTGCCTCGCCATCCTGCTTTCCGTTCATCAGCTCCCACAACTCCCCGAATGAGGCGAAGCCTGCGGCTTCATCTGACCTCCGGATTTGAACCGGACAGGACTTGCCAACTTCTGCCACCACGTAAGCCACTTCCTGGCACCAGTCTCTCCTCCATACCCACATACCTGAGCATCTCTGGTTTTGCTTCTCTCGAGAACCCAGCCTGACCCAGACTGTGGAGACTAGCTGGTGAGTCCCTGCCATGCCCTTGACCCTGGGGGACTTGAGGAAACTCCATGCCGCTCTCAGGCCTCGGTTTGTATCCAGGACTCGCCTATGCTCCTGTTGGGTGTGTCTCCTGCACAGGAATGGAAGCTCGGTGACGGCCCCTGTGATGGATGGTGCACCGCTCCTGCAACAGTGCCTGGCCGTAGCAGCTATCAGCACACATGGACTGCATGGGCTCGTGAACTACTCTGGAAAGCCGCCGTCCCATCCTCATCCCTCTGGCTCTAGGAGTCTGCGAGCAAGACATAGCCAGAAAAGCCTGTGAGAAAACTGCAGTATCCCTCCCAGGGACGTGGCCCATTCTAGTTTAGAAA